CGCCGTGGCGCCGGGTGGGGGCGTGCACGGCTCCGGTCCTCCCGCCGGCCGGCCTGGGCTGAGGGCGCCGCCCGGAGATGCCCGCCCGCTCCCTCTCCAGCCCGCAGCCCCTCCGCACCGCCCCGGGCTAAAGGCGGCCGAGCTGAGGCTCCGAGAGAAGGTGAGTAAGAGTGGGCTGCGGGAGGTGAGAGGGGAGGGGCCCCTTCCAGGGCCTCCCCCACCCCGGCCCGCCCCTCGCCCGGGGGCAGGAAGGACGGAGTGGGCTGGAGTTGGCGCGAGGAAGCTTTTCGGTCCCTTTCTGGGGCCGCATGGACGCCCCCTGTTCCTTGGTGATTTTCAGTGTGAAGCTCGGGTCGGTAAAGATCTTCCTTGCGGTCTGATTTAGCGGCGGGGGACCAACCCAGATGCTGCGAGCCGCTGAGTAGGTTGAGATGGTTTGAAGACTGTTCCGAGAAGAGGTACCATCCTCGCCTAAGGTCCTGCACGCTACTGAAGCGGCACAAGCGCGTGTGCGTGGGGTGAGGTGGGGTGTCGGGCTGGGAATGCCTCCCGGAGGGACTGCCCCCGCCTGGGCTTGCTGGCCCGGGACGCCCCTTTCGAAGCCCCCACCTGTGCCCTGGAGTTCAGCAGGGCTCCTTTGACGTCTCCCCGCCCAACCCCCACTCCCCTCCGGAAGGCAGGAACGCAGAGTCTCCGGCCCCAGGTGGACGCGAGAAGAAGCTGGCTGCGGAATCACCGTTCGTTTTAAGTGGGGGGAAAAAAAAATTTCCCAGGGACATTTCCCCAGGGGTGTAAATAGAGGTGTTAGTTCTGGAGGAAGAATTAGTAGCAAGTTTGCCGTCGTCCAGAAGCCAGTTGCCCTACGTATCCCGTGTACCTAAATAAATTAACCTTTCCCTCAGCTAGACAAAGTCTGCGTAAAGAAAGTATTTCTAAAAAGATCTGTGCCTCATCTAGAGTGGTGACGACGTTTACGGGATCCCAGTAAGCTGGCATCAGGACAAGCCTCTACCGAGTTGCACACAATGTGCTTTCTGCCCACGTGAGTATTTAACAGGGGAGCTGATTCTCTGGTAGATGGATTCTTAAAGAGGAGATAAGGCGGTTTTCCCATTTTGGCAGTGGAGGAATGTTCGCCATATTTGGATTTGCTTCTCAGACATGGATTTCACCAAGCTGATGTGAAAGTTGGTGATGGTGAGGTGGAGAGCTCATTAAACTAATTACTGTTAAAGTGGTCGCAGTGGCTAGATAAGGCTTCTGCCCCTTTTACTTCTTGGGCCCAGATTTACTGGTGGAGCTAGGTTTTTCCCAAAAGGGGTGACCGATTAGAAGAACTGAGAAGAATCTGCTGGGATATCTGGTCCAGTCCTGGGTTCAGTGTAGGACCCCAATAATATACTTAACATTTCACCCAGGGGCTGTTGTATACATGTGACTTTTTATACACATGATTACAAGTGCTACTTTGATCCCACAGACTGCTTTATCTGACATTCTTCCTGCTTTGAGGATTTTTAATATAAAATAAATCATAGAGCTATAAGGACTTTAAGACTTTAAATTCTCATTTAGGAAACAGATCTGGAAATGAATCCCATCAAAGATTAAATTACTTGCCCAATCTCATCTAATTAGATAGTTTAAAAACTAAGACCCTGGGTCCCAATTTAGGTTGCTTTCCACTATCCAAGGCTTTATTCCCAAATACCAGTTTTATGTTCTTTTTCCAAAATAAAAATCCTTTTAAAATTATATTTCAGTGATTTGAGCTCCCACTCCAAGTGATGAACTCATCTTAGTAGTTTTGGAACAGGCCTTACTTATGGTTTGTACTTCAAGATTAAGAACACTTAAAGGTAGCTTAATTTTGGTTTTAAAAAATTATGCACCTGTTATAACCTATGATCCTACGTTTTGAGATATAGAGAGTTTATAAAAGATTACTGAAATGAGACAAACTTGGTCTTTCTTGATACACAGGAGCTAGAATTGATCCCATCTGTTGTTAGTCATGACAGTCAATAAATTGGGTCACTGATGAAATAGCCGAGCTTATTCTCAGTGCCACTGATAGAATGTCCCAGTAGTCCCTGAGCAGTGTTACACAAGTGAACTAACTTCTGATTCTTTTTTTTGCAGAGGGAAATTGCAAAGCTCACCTACAGCCAGATTGTCAACATAATTTTTTAAGAATCAAGAATCAATGTTGGATTATTTCTTAAGATGGAACCTTGAAAGCCCACTTGGAGGCTGCACATCCATCTGCACACTTGAACATGAAAAATGGTCTTCTTCCATCAAGGAGAGCTCCTTCTTCAGCTAAATCATCAGAAGTGGTGAGAAGACGGGACCCCTACCCAACCAGACTCATGCAGACAAATTAAATCAGTCTTTTCCAGCAAGGAATGGAGCTGTACAAGAGTGGCCAGGTTGCTGTCTTCTGCTCCTGCCACGATGGAGTAGCTCCCTCCAGGAATGCCACCCACATGCAGATCATGCCCTGTTCAAGAGACCTGGCTGAGGCAGCTAATGGGACCTAAAATCTTGCCAAGACTCCACTCACTAAGCAGAGTTTATTGGTGCATGGCCATGTCTACCCAGACAATGTGGCTCCTTTTTCTAATTTGCACCAAGGCACCCTGTATGGGCAAAAGGCAGCTCTGACCATCCCACTCTCACATCCCATTCCTATCCAGGATTATATTCCTTACCTCGGATGGATTAAAGATTCTCATGAACAAATTAGGTTTATTGTAAAAGGTGAAATATTTGACCCAAATTGAAATTAATTTCATAGGTAAAGCTCCAAATATTACCATGGATATGAATTATGTATGTATGTATTTATATATGTATGCATATATAGTTATGTGGATACACATTTCTAGGTATCCAAAGTTAGCACAACTTAAATTTGGTAAATACTTAAAATAAAACTATTTTGGGGCCAGCCCTGTGGCTTAGAGGTTAAGTGCGTGCGCTCCGCTACTGGCAGCCTGGGTTCGGATCCTGGGCACGCACTGACGCACCGCTTCTCTGGCTATGCTGAGGCCACATCCAACATACAGCAACTAGAAGGATGTGCAACTATGACATACAACTATCTACTGGGGC